AAGACCACTTTCTTTTTTTTTCTGGCAGTACTGGGGCTTTGTGCTTGCCGGACAGGTGCTCACCACTTGAGCCATGCTCCCAACCCTTACTACTTTATTTTTTTAATAGGGTCTCACCTTTATGCCTGGGCTGGCCTGGACTGTGATATACCTAGCTATGCTTCCCATGAAGCTAACATGACCGGTGTATGCCACTATCCAGCTTTTAGTGGTTGAGATGGAATCTGAAAAATTTTTTGCCTGGGGTTGGTCTTGAACCTGATCCTACTGATCTCCACCTCCTGAGTAACTAGTATTACAGGTGTGAGCCACCACACCGGACTCAAAATAACCACTTTTTAAAAAAGCTTTCCCTTCATTATACTCTGTATAGCATCCAGAGTGTTCCACCCAGAGGAAGCACTTAACAGTGCTTTTTCAATAAATTAGGAAAGGAAAAAGAGGAATTAGAACTTTCAACTATCAACTGTATATCCAAAGGCCAGCTCCTCCTATGAGACTCTCTGGGGTCTCATCATCAGCCCCAGGATAGGTAATGAGGCTGAGACATGATAGGACTGACGACTGACCCAGTTACCATAGAAACCCTCAGGACAGATCCAGAGTGCTGGGGTCATGTTTGCTCAAGCTGCTCCTATCCTCAGATTGTCATACTCACCATTCCTTCCAATAACTAACTGTCTCCCTAGTCCTGCACTGATACTTACCCTCACCATTCCTCAATCACGCAGCAATGAGATTCTCATGCCCAACATCCCTGGCTGTTGTCAACTCACAGAGGACTTCTGCTGTACGAGTGCCTGTGACAGTACCATTTCAAGAAGATGCTGTGGGTGTGGAGGACTGGGTGGAGTCTGTACCACTTTAGACACACCGGGTTTAAGGAACAACCAAGGGGAGAGATACAAAAGGCAGCCAGGGATGCACAACTGGAGACTGGGGGATCAGAGATGGAAAAACACTTCTGAGTTATTCAGATCAGTGATTCTTAGAGTGAAGGAAATCAAGAGTGTGAAGAGGCTGCTGTGTGTGCAAGTACTTTGTCCAATATTGGGTGTGATCTTAATTGTGACTTTTTTGGGCTATCCTAGGGTACAACTGTGATTTTTAACTGGGTCCAAAAAAGCACTGAGTGAGTGAGGAACAGAAAGGGAGCCAAAAGCATTCTAAGGAGGAGGAGCTGAGAGGCAGGAGGAGGCCTGGAGAAGAGAGCTACATGGTCACTAAATGCCCCACGCTGCAGGAGATCATGGGGCTCTACCACTTTAGCCACTCTACCAGTCCTGTACTCCTCAGTCTATGACACATGGATGTCACTTGTCTATTCAAGGTTACCCTTTTATTTGTCCTATCTCATCCACCACACCCGCTATCTCATTTCTGTCCTCCTATGAACATTGACACTGGTGTCATGTTTCTCTTCCATAAAATGGTTTAGATTTCATGTGCGCAAGGAAAATACTTAGTGGGTTTTTTTTTTTAATATGTGGACTTCTAAACTTATATTAACGGTATTGGCTCTGATTTTCCTCCAGCAGGGTTTCTGAGCTTTGTCCACACTGCCACATGTCAATCTGGCTGACCGCTCTGACTGTCCTCTGCCCAGCATGGGATCCCTTCACAGGCCATGCATACCTATTATCAGTCCCCTTGGGATAGACCCCAATGGCCTCCAGTTAGTCCAGCTTTCTGATGCTCAGTTTTGCCATCAAACAAAAAGCCTGGTGGTAGGAATACCTCCTATTTCAGAATTCCTGCCAAGTTAGTACTTCAAAGTCTTGCCAACTACTGTGCCTGTTGTCATCACAAATGGTGCTGTGAAGAACGACCCCTTGTGCATGCTCCTTTGCCCCCATCTTTTCTGTCCCAGCCATCAAGACTCACAATGACTTCATTAACAGGGGTTACTATTACTAATATTCCTGCAGCGAAGGTCATGGAGCCAGGATCTGGGTCTAGAAGACATGAGTTTCCGAGCTGCACTACATTGGGCCAACCACATAACCTCCTGGGGATAATCACACCTCTTCCTTGACAATGCCATGGGTGAACCCGAGGGCAGAAGCAAGTGCTTTGTAAAATACTAGGAGCTGCCAGGTTTGCTGTTCTGTTGTTCCTAGTGGGGGTGGAGAAGAAAGGAAGAGCCCAAGCCTCCCATAAGGAGAGCAAGAGGCACCCGCAGGTACCAGGGAGGCCTTGAGATGGCCTCATGAACGCATGACCTGGGTGCCATGATCCTTGAGTGTCACAGAAATAGCCTGTGTTCCCTTGAAAACACTCCCAGTCAATGAATCAGGAGCCCCAAGTTAGAGACCTAGCAGCAGGCCCAGCTCTAAACGCTTGCTAGGCGATGGTCACAAGCAACAGGCTCACCCTCTTCAGTTCCATGGGAAGTACTGATGAGTACAGGCCCCACCTCTGTCCAATGGCAACTGACTACGGAAGTGGCACCTCCACTTGGAAATGGGCTGTTCTCCAACCCTCTGCTGTTTTTTTTTTTTTTCTGTCAGTTCATCCTACTGACCACAAGATGGTGCCCTCTTTCTGGGAAATCTCTGATGTTCACCAAAGGAGCAACAGTTCATTTTCTGTATTAAGCAATGCTGAAAGAATGGATTTGAATTTAACAACCTTCTCTGGCATCTCATTAAGCCAAAATCCTGTGTCCTCAGTGAATTGCCTTGGCTCTGTATCTTTTCCCTTCAGATAGAAACCAATGGGCTGGGACGTGCCTTCAGTTTTGCATTCCTCCAAGGGTGGTAATGCAGAGAGTAGGCACCAATTGCTGACTTAAAATCATTAGTATCAATAACAACTAAAACTCATTTAGTCATTTACCATTTGAAATGTGTTCTTCATCTACTAGCCTCACAATAATCTATGAACCAGATGTTATCATTTCCTTGTATAAGGGGAGAAAAACTGAGGCTTGGAGCATTAGCTCTTTCAAGGTCACAGTACTAACTAATAGAAGAGAATTTTCTGGTTCTGGATCCTGAATTTTTCCACTGCCTCACAGAGATCATAGTCGAGTGCTGGGGACCTGGAAAACAGAAAACCTGAGCAAGGAAACTTCTCAGTACAACTCTGGAAGACTTCCTAAGCAAGCAAGACGGACAGACAGATGTTGTCCTGGATCTTTGTGCCATCAGACAGAAGGTCAGCAGACAACCTGTGTGACCAGCTGAGGTAAAGCTGTGAGATTCCTCACAGCTGGACAGATGCTGGACAGAGTCAGTGGAGACTCAACAAGAAGACAGATTTTATGATTATTAATTTTCTGTTCCAGGTACCTGGTTGTCAGTCTACACTTTCCTTTTAGCAGAACTATCATACTGTTTCCTGGTCATAGTGAGTGATCAAAATTTTTATTTCTTTTTCTTGCATGCTGTTTTGTGAAACAGACTTTGTGAAGAGGAGATCAGGATGAAGATGTACCATTTCCAGCCACTATGGAAACTCCTTCCCCTTCCCTCCTGACATTTCCTGCCCTTCTGCATTATGTCCTCCTCTCAGCTCAGAAAGCCTCTTCTACTGCAGCCTAGCCTGCACGGGGGGCTGGGGAAAAGAAGGCAATGAGAAGGGGTACATGTTCACCTACAGAAGCCTACAACTTCACCTACAGACACAATGTTGAAATTCCTTAGCACCAAAATGATAGGGCAGCTACACTGGAATCACACAGGCTTCTGTGCATTGAACCAGGGTCCTAATTCTACATCACTGTTTCTATGAACAATGAAATTTTATTTCAAATACCTGATCTCAAGTGAACTTTACAACAGAACTCGAGAGGGGCACTTTTCTACACATATATACCCACTCAGACACAATTTCCTCTTCTGTCATTCATGCCATCCATCTGTCTATCCATACTATATTTTTATTAAGGTACAGAATAGTTACTGAAGACATGTGAAAAGCAAAAAAGCTAAGATTTAGGGCTGGGGTTCTGGCTCAGTTCTAGACCACTGGTCTAGCATGTGTGAGTCCCTGGGTTCCATCCCTAGCAATGAAAAAAAAAAAAAAAGCTAAAGATTTAAAGAATAAACATTTTATATTTACTGAGTTCAAAGAATAGTTCTGTAGTAAATGTATCTTCACTAAGTTTTTAAAAATGAACCAATATTAAACATGATTTCTTTCTTTATAGTGAGAGTAGAAGGCGGTGTGTATAAAACAGCAGGAATTTTTTAGTTGTAAACTGAATCTCAGGTCAAGCAACTTTACTTTTCTAAGCCCCAGTTTCCTTATCAGGGATGCTATACTCAATTTCTAAGACTACCTTTTTTTTGGGGTGGGTGTTGGGGTGTGAATTCAGGGCTTATTTTGTTGAGATGGAGTTGCACTTAACTTTTTGCCCAGGCTGGCCTCAAACCATGATCCTTCTGATCTTTTCCTCCTAAATAGCTGGGATTACAGATATATACCACTGCATCCAGCCTAGGACTACTTTTTAAACTATAAATATAATATAATTTAATAATATAATATAAATACCTAGTGTTGAATAAGGCACAGCGTAGTTACTTCCCATCCTTTCTCATTTAATCTCTGGGATTCCCTGTTTCACTTCAATAAAAATGTCTTTAAACCACATTTAATTTCCAGAAGCCCTGTTTTAAACTTTCCTCTTTGCTTAAATACCCACTTACCTGCTTGACTTAAATCAATTAATGTCCAAAATAGACTAATGTGGATAGATTATTAAATAATAAATAAGTTTGAAGAACCTACTTAGGCTGACAATTACAATCATTGTTTGAACTGACTCATCTATACCTACCCCCTCAAATATTTGATTTTCACAAGACTTTGTGGATTTTATTTTTTTCCTTTTTCTTTTCTGAAGAGGATTTAAGATTCTCTTAACATCTCCAACCAAAACCCCTTTTGTGACCATAGTTAGCTCAGTCAGCTTTTAGTTAAATGAATCAAGACATGAGTTTGATGGACAAACCAGATTTTATTTCAAGTTTTGTCAAGTATTCTTTCCTGTTTACTATTGGGTTCTTCAACTCTGCAGAGCCGGTGTGGAGGGATGATGGGGAGGAGCCCTTGGCTCATGTGGTCTGGCTGACCTTGGATGATCAATGTCCATTCTGTGCTGGCATGTCCATGACTGCCTTCTTGGACACTCTCACTGGTTCCATCCCTGGCACCTGCCTTTCCTGTGGCTGTCAGAGTTGGGGATCTGCCTGCAGATCTGCCGACTGGTTGAAATTTGGTACTTGATCCTTCTCCATGCCATCAAAATCCTCTAGTTTTTCAGGCAACTCTGTGTCCTCAGGAGATCAGGCCTTGTCTGCCATCCTTGATCTAATGGTTAAAAAACATACCCTCTCTGATTTGAGGAAACCTGAAGGCCTAAAAAACTTGTTATAATTCAGAGCCAAAAAGACCCTCTAAAGTTATACATATAAATCCATATTCTAAAGCATTATTCTCCTCAGCATATAATGATATTTGTTTTTAATTGAAATGTAGGGTTTCCCCCTCTTATAAAAGATGTTTCTAAAGTGCTACCACCATGCAGCAAAAGGATAAAAGTGTCCAGATACCCTGCGTTTACCATGTTTGTGGCTTAACGTGAGGCTAACACATGTATCTGCTACTGCAGGAGTCTTCAGGAGTGATGATTTTAATTTTGTGCTGTAGAAATCAGGCCAAATAAATAGGCAAAAAATAGATCTGTAAGAATGGTAAGTCTTTAACTTACTAATCCATGACATCTTTGACAGCAATTTTAAATTAAAATGGTCCAGAGGACAAAGTACGTAATTATTGATGAGAAAATGATTCCTTCAAGTCTCACAATTCAGAGTTCTTCCTGCATTAGCCATTCATCTAGTTTTATTCATGTGAAAGTGACAATTACTTCTAGCTTCTGTCCCCTCCGTTCCAGTACTGTTCAGTCTGCATTTCTGTGAGTCGGGAAATTGTGCGCTGAAATGCAAAGATTTCCTCTTCTCCAGTGAACATGGAGAGTCCTTGTGCTGATTCCTGGTTATAAAGACAACACACCAGCACCAGTTAAAACCACCCCAAAGGAAAGTTTACAGAATGAAGTGCAGATAAAGAAACTTTAGGTTTGCCTATTTAGATTATAAAGTTTTCCATACATTATTTTCATATACTATTTCTTAAATTAGACTACAGAGTCAACTGATCTAAACCAATAAACACAACATTTCCATGGAAAAGCCTTTAAAAATTCAGAAGAAAAATTAAAGCTGAAACAATACCAGAAAATTATGAAAGTTCCTATATGAAATAGGATGAAAGTTGTCTGTAAAATCTAAAGGAACATTCCAGATAGAAAAGAAATTTTTTATTCAACAGTTATACAAAAAATAAGTAATGGCAAAAACAGAAGCTCTGCAAAGAGAGGAAGAGGCTGGCATTTGCCTCAAAAGCTTCCTAGACAGGCCCTGAAAAGCCTTTTCCAAACTGGGTAACTGAAAGGTCCTAGTGATCTGGGTCTTGGAGAATATGCCTGGGATCTGACTTTGCAAAGGCCAGAGCTGTCTTCAGTCCTCAGCTGAGGGTTAAGTTGGGGAGCCCCGTCCCTTATGAGGCCAGTAAACAACCCGGGGCTGGTGATACCAACATGGGCTCATGGCCTCTATATGGGCTTTGAATTTTCCTTTCTTTCCTTGGGGTTTGCTATTATGCTCTTTCAGAGAAAAATTCTGGCCTCCTAAATCCATCTACCCCACTGTTCTACTGTGATCATTCATGACCCTAAGGTCACATTCCCTGACTTCTTCATATGTAACTGGCTCTAAGTGCTAAGCTTATTCTGGCCTGTATCTGAACCCTGATCCTGGGGGAAATTTTAAAGAGCCTATGATTTAAAAGACTTTAGAACTTTATATAGCCTCTCAAGTGTATTCTTTCAAATTGCCAAAGAGAATATTTGGTAGGTATTGGTCTTGAAAAGCCAACATTTCAAATGGTCCCAGCACAGTGTTTTCTAAGCACTTCTACACTGCTAGGGTCTGAATGTTATTTCCCTGAAAAATTCATATGCTGAAACCCTAACCCCCAAGGTGATGCATAAAGGGAGAAATGCCTTTGGGAGATGATTAGGTCTTGAAAGTGGAATACTTAAGAACGGGATTAGTACCCAGAAAGATCCCTCATTCCTTCCACCATGTGAGGTTTGTATCAAAGAGACAGTGGTCCTAGGAACTAGGAAATGGGTCTTCACCAAAACTTAAATCTGATGCCTTAATCTTGAACTTCCCAGAGCCCAGAATTGTGAGAAATAAATTTCTGTTGTATATGTTCCCCACTTTAAGGCATTCTGTTACAGCAGCCTGAACAGCCTAAGGTATACACATAGCTTTAAGTAATCACATTCTCAAAGTTCACTTTCAAAGCAGTATTGGCCTCATTCTCCCAAACTCCTGAAACCCATAATCTCTACTCAAGTCAATAAGGAACTGCTCTTCACACGAAATGGACTTGGCCTTGAGGCTGAAGACAGAGGTCTTCGTTCTTGGGGTCAGTTGATAGTTTTACATTTTGACTAACATTTCAATTGTCAATCAATAGTAGAAAAACACACCCTGTAAAGTTCTTTCAGAAGGACATGCAAATTCACTTCTGCTTGGCCTGGAGTGAATCCAAGTTTTTCTCTGGAGTGTCCCCAAAACCTGGCACCGGCATGTGTTTGTTGAATGAAGTTAAGTGCTTGTTGAATGAAGGTTCGGAGAGGAATCGTAGATTTCTTTCTAAGCCAGGGCCCTGTTGGGCAGTGTATGACCTGGACTAGACAGCCCGCACACTTGGATCCTGGATCATGTGCTACAGATCCAGAAATCACAAAGAAGATCATCTAGAGAAGGCAGCATAGTGCAGCAGAATGAGCCTAGAACCAGACACAGTGTCCTGGCATCCAGTGATGGCCCACCATTATTCAGCGGTGTCACTGTGAGCCTATTAGTCCATCTCTCTGGACTTTGTTTTCCTGCATACAACATGATGTGTGATCACTAAGGATTCCTTCTATTAAATTTAGTGCTATTGAGAATAAGACTGCTACAAAGCAGCACATCAGTGGTTAACCATCTGTATTTCTTCTTCAAAATGTAGCCATGTATCAAACCAAAACAATTAAGCTGTTTTATAATAAAGAGATTATGTTAATATCGCCTACCTGGCTCAGCCCCAAATCATCCATCAGTATTCTGCTTTGCTCCAACTCACCGTCATCATGTTGATACAAAAATAAGCTTGATATAGGAGTCGACGCAGAGCAAATTATGCGCACCTGAAACAAAGAATGAGTAGATGGTGCCACTCTACATTACCCGAGTTCAAAGGAAGAAAATTTCTCACAAAATAAAAATCTGTTTGTCACAAAGGGAGCTTAGGTCTTTGCTTTTAAAGATTAGATTTTTTTCTAATAGTTTGTAGTTAAGTGATACATCTATATATATTTATACAGATGGGGCGGAGGTTCTGGGGTTTGAACTCGGGTTTACACTTGCTAGGCAGGCGCTCTACCACTTGGACCACACCTCCAGCTCTTTATGCTTCCTGCCATTAATGGAATGATAGGCACATGCCACCACGCCCAGCCATTGGTTGAGATGGGGTCTTGCTAACTTTTTTTTTGCCCAAAGCTGGCCTGGAACTGTGATCCTCTCAATCTCAGCCCCCTGAGTAGCTGCACAGCTTATACCCTGCTGTGAAGTAGAGAGCAAAGATTTTACTGGAAGAATTCAGGTCTGCAGAGGTCAGGACATCAGCCCAGGTCTTCAGTTCTAAGACCATTATTCTTTCCATTTCTTTCTGGTTTGAAAGTCTGCATCCCCTCCAAAGCTCATGTTAAAACTTAGTCCTAATGCAACATTATTAAGAGGTGAGGGTTTTAGAGGTGACTGAGTGGCGAGGGCTCCATAAACATCTATTGGAGCCTTAACCAAGTCTTGATCTTGGATTTCTCAGCCTCTGGAGTTGTAAGAAATAAATTTCTGTTGTTTCAAAATTATCCAGCCTGTGGTATTTTGTTATAGCAGCACAAACAGACTAGGTCAATTACACTCTAATGCTGACAATTTATACTGGGCTGCCTGGAGCTGGTCTCTGTGTGACTCTGCTCCCAGATGCACTGTAAAAGAGGTGGTTCCCACTTTGCTGCATAGCTGACAGCTAAGTTCAATGCATTACCCCTCTACCTCAGAACCTACAATTGTATCAGCATCTTGCCAGGATGTTCTTCAAAAAGATTAAGCTGTACATGATTATCTCTTCATAATATAAGTATCTGAGTCAGTGTGTATGTGTGATCATATATTAGAAACGGCTTTTGTATATTTTACACTTTTTATGTACTTTATGTCTAAAGAATCCTAGACTTGTTTTCAAGGATTCACAGCTAACCTTTAAAAATCATTATTTAAGTAAATACATCAATACTTTAAAATAATGTGCTGACATTTGGGACTAATTTTCTCATACCCAAATGGCCTTTTACCTCCTCTTAGAATTTTTTCAACGTTAAGTGACACTTTTTTCGTTATTTAGAGGACAATAGCCTTATTTCACAAATCTTCATGACAATATTCTAGAATAATGTCTGTTTGATGTGCTCAATTTCTGAAATGAGATAATTTGGGCTATACTCTAAAAACCAGTACACTCTAAATTTATGATTTAGTTAGCACAAATATTGGGAGTGGTTTGGGTGTTCCATCATATGGCCAGACAAATCTTATTTCCTTTAAGTAAGAAGTAAAAAAGTGAAGAAGGAGGAGGAAGAGGGGGTGGAGGAGGAGGAGGAGGAATAACAGGGAGGAGGAAGGGAGAAGGAAGAAGAGAAAAAATAAACCTGAGGTAGGATTAGGTGGTAGACAAAGGGATGGGGCCAAAGGCTTTCTTTAACGTACTTTTTTTTTTTTTTGTAGTATTGGGGCTTGAACTCAGGGCCTACACCTTAAGCCACTCCAACAGCCCTTTTATGTGAAGGGTTTTTTGAGATAGGGTCTTGTAAACTATTTGCCCAGGCTGGCTTTGAACCACCATCCTACTGGTCTCTGCCTCCTGAGTAGCTAGAATTATAGGCGTGAGCCATGGGAGCCTGGCTCTTTAAGGTATTTTTAACCTAATTATATAAACACAATGAGATTCTCATTCCTCCATTCTAAGAGCCACCTACCAATGGTGGCTCTCATCATTTTCTTCTTGAAGCCTTTGCCATGTAAAAACAGTGCCACCTCCAGGCTCATTCAGAGCTTCAAGGATGAGTGTGGGCAGGATCTCTGCAGAAGGCAGCCACGCACAGCTGGTGGCCTTGCTCCTCAGCTTCCTGATCTTGGCTTCTGCTTTTATTGACTCCTTGATCACATGTGTGTGGGCCCCTTGACTATAAGCAGCAGATTTTGCTGCCACACTTAAGGTAGGCTTCCTTTGGCCCCTGTACCAGAGCCATGCTTGGTGCCCGTCACCTTCAGCCCCCTCATCCCAAGCCTTGGCTGCAGACTTCCCTCTCTTGCTACCCACTTTCGCCCTGTTCTGGAGGTCAGTCCTCACACCTCACACCTGAGCACTTATAAGAAGCATCTGAGGAGCACGTGAACACTCAAGTTCCAGGACCCAGGCCTAGTCCTTGTTTGCTGGAGTGGGTATGGGATTGGCTCTGGAATTCAGACTGTCAATAGCCCAGAGGGTACTCATGCAGGTGGTCTGCTCCTATGCACCCCCTAGATCAGTGTACTCTCCCCTAGACCCCACAGCTCCTCCTCCTCTCTCTCTGTTCAGGAGGTCATCCCACAGTGGTGGCTGAACACTGACCTCTGCAGACATGTGATTCATGTTTCTCCAGCACTAGGCTGGGCTCCATGAAGGCAGGCCCCATGTCCAGCTTTGCTTGCCCCTGAATTTCTAGCACTTAGCACTGTGCTTGGCATCACAAAGGTGAAGGAATAACTCAATGAACCACCAACATCTTACCTCTGCTTTCCAGCAGAGTCTGTGGCGTGCCTTCTCCCCCACAAAGTCCCTTCAATTTTAGAATTACTGCTCTAACTAATTCTGTACAAGGACAAGGGAGGGGAAATGTCCCAAGAGGACTGTTGAAGTCTAATTTGAAATTGCCCCTATAGCTTTAGTGTCCATGTATATTTAGAGATACAGGCTATCGATGGTGGCTCACCTTTATTGTGAGTTCAGTATATGTCAGACAAGGTTCTTAGCATTTTACATGCTCATTTTATCCTCACAGAAATCTTGTAAATTCAGTACCATTATCATCCCCTTCTTCTAGAGAAGACAACTGAAGCTTAGCGAGGCAAAGTCAGACTTCCTGCAGGATAGGCAGCCTGGTTCCAGGACCCACTCCTTCACCACTAGGCTATACTGCCTTTCATGAAAGGGCACTGGCTCTGCAATCCCTGCTAAAACATATAGGTGAAAAACAAAACAAAACAAAAACCAGCAAGGCAGTATAATGCTGGTTACTGGGGTTTCTGAGTCACAGAGAGGGAGGGAGGGAGAGCTCCAATACTGCATAGAGTCCTTTAGCCACTCATTCATTTCTCCATTCATTATTCTCTCAGTCCAACCTCTTATTAGGCAACACATGTTTACTGAGCACTCACTGCGGGCCAGGACATGTGTTGTACATTATCACAGGTGGTGCATACCCCCCTTCTGGTCAAGGATGGAATCATTAATATAACACAGTGACTTGTGATGGAGTTTGACTACACTACTAACTCCTGCTATTTGTAATAGCATTTACACACCCTTCAGCCTGGGCCAAATGTGTTAAACACCTCTCCTGGACCAGCCTTTGTAGTCCTCACAACAATCCTGTGAAGTAAATATTGTTATTATTGCTGATTTGCAGATGAGGAAACTGAGGCATAGAACAGGGACTAGTGGTAAAGCCAGGACTCTAGTCCAGGCCATCTGGCTCCACATTCCATAGTTTTGAGAAAAAGGTATTATGTCCTTACCTTGAAATCATATAAATTATCAATGAGAGTTATGAATCTTCGAGCTTGAGTCCTCTTTGCCAGTGTAAACTGTGGAATGTTTCGTAAAAATAGTGTATCAAAATTCCTTGATAGTTCCAAATAGTCACTAGCTCCAAGTGGCTATAATTAAAACAAAACAAAGAAAATGAAAATAAACCAGTGTTGGTCTCCTTTAGATTTGTTTAAACTCTCTTGTCACGGTGTGGTGTAGGTGGTAGCTTTGATGTGACTTGATCCGGTGTTTCTGGAGTAGGCTAGAGATGCTAACACTGTACACACTGTGCCTTAATAAGGATATAAAAAAGCAGGCACAGAAGAGGACAAGTGTGCGGTAGGAGTGGAACAGTATCATCAGCCACAGCCTCCAGCAGAGTACCAAAAAGGTGTTTTCTTTTAGGGCACTGTCCCAAATCCAGTCTTCCATATTACTAGATGACATAACTTTAAACATGTCCTTATAAATCCTTCCTGAGACTCAACTGCAAGCTGTCACTACTGTTCAGTGGAGCTATTTTATATGGCATGTGGAATGTTATATCACCAGTTTGAAATAAAGAATATGCTCCTGCATAAAAATCATCAGAAATTTTTAGTTTAATTTGAGGTACACTTGGTAAACATTGCTGACCTCTGTAGGAACTACCAGAGGGTGTGAATGAACAGAAGACTGAGGCTTCAAGAAAGTCTGTGGCAGCTTGATAAACCTCTTGCTACAAAGAAGGTACATGATCAAGGTCCCCAAAATTATCCTGAAAACTACCACCTACAGGTGGAAAGTAGTTGTTCCTGAAACCTGAATTTAACTCATAAGCAGTATGAAAACTATCTACAAACACATTTGTTGGGGTTAGGAAGATCCCCAGGGAAGGCTACCCCTATTCATTTTAAGTTGTGTGGAGGTGATTGTACTCTGTGAGCAGCAAACCATAAGCAAAGGCCAGGGAAGCATTTCTGACCATGCTAGAGTGGGGAGAAGATCAGAGACTGAGTGGCCCAAGCACCACTCTGAGGTCCCTCTGAAAGCCCCTGGGTCACTATGACCAACCCATAGGGCACAAGTGGCTGAGCCTCCTCAATTTCTGGCAGAATCCTCAATATTCCTCCTTGTCCAGATATACCTCTTTCACTTGGGGTTCCTTTCCCTGAAAACTTCTTCCTTCAGAAATGATGATACAGTCATGTTCTTGGGAGATCAGGGAGCTTTGAGGAAGAGTCACGTAAACCTACTGCCATTCTTCCAACCCACTGAAATCAGTTACACTCAGGACAGAGGTGTGTAGAGATATGAATAAATCCAGTTAAATTCTGGAGAAGGGATTCCCTTGAGTGACAGCTGTTCTAAGAAGGGTGCGGCAATTATGAAACCTAGGCAAAGGAACACAAAATCACTCTTTTGGAATGTGCTTATGGTGTCCCTTCCTCCCTTCTCCTCTCCCCAACCACATAACAAGTGGTGACAGGAAGGAGACAATCTTTTTGCCTTTCCGTTTTTCTTCACTGGCTGGAAAACCTGATCTCTAGACCCTGGGCCTGACCTTAGCTGAGTCAAGCTGCTTATCTCAGTCATGGAAGGGCTTGAGGGTGTTGTGGGGAGGTTGTTTTTGGTTTAACCCTGACATTCCTCCAAGAGCAGTCTGCTGTCAGTCCTGAATGGACCAGGAGCAAGTGTTAATAGAGAAGCTAAAAGCGAGGGCTCTAGTTCTACACTGCTTGGGTTTGAAACTTTAGTCTGCTACTTATTAACTGGGAATGTGAGGCAAATTATATAATCGTTCTGTTACTGAGTGTTCCTATTTATAAAATGGGAACTTGATTTGTATCTCACAGAACTATGAGGATTCAATAAAATGATACACCTAAAGTGTTTAGCACAGTGGCTAGACCATACCTTAGCATCCACACCATTTTGGCTACGTTTATTATTATTATTTTGAACTCAAATGATTGGGCTCAGTACAAATGACACAAATGAATATAAAGACATGCCATTCTCAAGGGGAATCAGTTAATTTTGTTCCACCACTGCCTGCATCCAAAACCCTAAGTTAGTCGCCTGACCTCAGAGTCATAGCAGGGACCAGAGGAGACTGGGAAACCAAAATGTAGTGAAAAAGATTCCCAGAAAGGAGAGGAGAAGGCAAAAGAAGGTCTTTTTGTAAGAAAGGATAATGCATACCTAACTCTCAGGCTCTCAAGCCACATTGCTTTTGTGAGATCAGTTAGAAATGAGTGTCTCATCTTTTGTAAATCAGAAACTATATGTAAAAATGTAAAACCTCCTATTAGGTATGCAGTTATGTATAATTAAGCTCACTCTTTATGCACGGATGTGATTTCTATCAGTGTAACTACATGCCCAAAGAAAATCATTATCAGAAGTGCACTGAAGTGCTGAGGGCAACTGAAAATCAGAATTTTGCCCACTCAGCTATTTTACAAATTACACACCTAGGACCTGCAGTTGCCATTGTATTAGCAAATATTCCTCTCCTTCATGTCACTAAAACAGGTGCATGTTCCTTCGTGTAGGGAAAACAAAGCCTCAGGATAGTTACCCATCTCTTTTAAAGGCAATAGTTACCGGGGGAAAGTGGACTTACAGTTTAACACAGACGGTCTGAGATAATGAAAAAGCTCTGGAGATGGATGGTGGGGATGACTGTACAACAGTGTAAATGCACAATGCCTCTGAACTGGCTAAAAATGGCAAATTTTATGTTGTGTCTTTTTTTTTAACCACGTAAAAATTGTCACTATAATAGAGTTTATTGATTGCCAAAGAAATCCCAAATTAAGACACAGAGACAGAGCAATATTATTTTTTTCTTTAAAAACATGAGAAAGGTGCCAGGTGCCACTGGCTCACGCCTGTAATCCTACCTACTCAGGACGCAGAGATCAGGAGGATCGTGGTTCAAAAACAGCCCAGGCAAATAGTTCAAGAGACCCTATCTTGAAAAACCCTTCACAAAAAAGGGCTGGTGGAATGGTTCAAGATGCGGGCCCTGAGTTCAAATCTCAGTACCGCACACAAACAAAACAAAACAAAACCCATGAGAAAGAAGAATGAAATGTATTAAATAATGAGAAAAGTGTTTTCCAACTCCAAATAAAATTATGATTAATCTAAAATATGAAGGGTTTGTTTTTCCCTTTTCTTTTGCAGTGCTAGGGAACAAATCCAGGGCCTTCCACACTCTACCTCTGAGCTACAACCCCAGCCTGACTTTGTTTTATTTTTGGTAATTATTTTCTTATATTTGCTCTGATGTTGAAGTATCCAAAAAGTAACACTCTTGAACAAAATTTCAGTACTAAATTTGGTGAAATATAGGGACTCTTCAGAAAAGCTAATTTTCACTACTTAAAATTAGACTTTAAACAAATCCCTGAAGTTTAGTTTTCTCATCTGGAAAGGATTTCACTCATAGGTTTGTCCTTAGGATTCAATGTCTTGAACTGAAAAGACTTTGTTACTGTGCTGCACATAGTAAGTGCTCAATAAACATTGGTTATTAATTTACAGGATTCACGAGAATTTAGTGAAATGATATATGTATAGTATATTACTTAGCACACAACATTCAGTAAACAGTTATTATCTCATTAACTATTAAATAACCTTTCATGAGGCCAGGCAGCCTAAATGAATGAAGAACTACACTGACTCCAGTCCTGCTACCCTTCCACACAAGAGGTCAGAGAAGCAGCTCCCAGTGCTCCTCCCTTCTGTCCCACTAATCCAGTAAGGCTTCCAGGGGTAAGCTCAATTCACTTTATTTTAAAAAGACTGCTAGTGCTCACTAATATCCATGCTTTCTTCTTCTTTTTGGGCACACTGGTAGACTATCTTCCCTAGCCTCTTCTGGATTTAGGTGTGGCCATGTGGTCAACTTCAAGTAATCAGAAGGAAAAGAAAGTGATATGATCATTTCTGGGCATGACCAATAAAAACATCCCACACAGAATCCTCATTTCTTTTACTCATCTGCCAGATGAATAGAGAGAACTCTGAGGACTTGAAGGCAGAATGAAGCTTGGATCCTTGAAGGACTATAGGAAGCAGAGTTCCAGGGCCAACCAGCATTAGGTGGTGATACCACCAAGAAATGCATGTTTATTTGTTAAGCCTCAGAGACTTTAGAGTTATTTGCCTTCTCAGTTAGCCTCTCCTAATAAATATTTCATCCAATTTCCTTCTTGTCCAAACCAGGAGGGTAGTGCAAATTATAAAGACTCTACCATTACTGTAAGTACTACAAAATTTTCTATGGTTTTCTCGTGTGAGTGAAAATCCCCATTCTTACTACTAACTATCAAAAATTTCTCTTCAAATTTTCTTCAGATTATCACTTCAAATTTTCTTCAGATTATCACTGAAAAATGTACATGGTTTGTACATTATCACTTAAAAAGTCAGGAACTGCATTTAGCCTTTTAAGCATCAGACCTAAGTATTAAAAAGTTGTGTTTGTGAAGGCAAGTGTTTCATTATAAATTTGAACAATTTTATTGGAAAGTTTTATTCAAATTCAATATTTGATATATTTTAAAATAGCTTTGTAAATTTATTTTTCTTCTAATTAAATAATACGTAAAAATGTAATATCTTTACCACACCACCCAATGATGCTGCCAAATCATCTTATGACACCTTGTGTGGTAGTGTATGCCTGTAATCCCAGCACTGGGGAGGCAGAGTCAGGACAATTGAGAGTTTGAGGCCAGTCTGGCCTACACAGAGAGATGCTGTCTCAAAAACAAACAAAAATAACTTTGTGTGCCATGGAAATGCTAGCATTTTTTATGTGTGCCATCCTAGTAAGCAGACTGATAGGCTGAAATGCCACTCACTTCCTCTTTCAATATTTAAAGAGATTTGAGGACATTCAAAGGCATTAATTACAAAATTCTGTAGCAAATCATGATAATGTAAAAACATTTGAAATGGTTTTGAGAAACGAAGAATTCCCAGGAGGGGGACGGTCATCTTACAGTAATGACTCCAGTTGTTCTTTCCCACTTGTCCTCACCCCTCTGGATTGGGGCCGTCTAGCTCTCCCACTAAGACCAGGAATCACTTGCTCATTCTTCAGTGTGTAATGGCCTTGTAATTGACC